CTATAAACTGTAGGTCCATTACTTAGTCCAAACTTAGTTGCCATTAGCTGTATGGGCTATTAGTTAACAGCTGTGTCTGAGGAATAAGTCGGCCAGTCACTAACATAAGACTACAAGATCGCGCCACTCATCCTACACTCATCTCCATTCATACTTGGCTAAAAATACTACTTTGTATTGTTGCCATTTCATTGAAAAGTATTATAAGTATTAAGATACCCCCATTTTTGGGTGGGTAAACAAAATTATATCATGACCATCTGTTTCTTATGTAAACAAATGTAAACTGGAAAAAGTGCAGATCATTTACATCAGAATTCAGCTCAAACACTGAAATTGTAAAAGCCTATAGGACGAAGGGTATTCACGGGATATCATCCAAACCTGGAAAAGGCACATCTAGAGGATAAGAGCTTTAAATTGATACCCAATATGCCCATAAAAATAAATATTTATTGGTCGATTTGCTGCACACAAAAACCTAACAAATTTTGTAAATCTATATAAAAATCCAATGTATGTTTGTTTGTTTGTTTGTTTGTCCTTTATAGACTCCGAAACCGCTCGACAGATTGTAATGAAACTTTCAGGTATTATTAAGCATTATTCAAGGATGGTTTGTGTAAAGTTTGGCGCATATCCATCCAAATAAGGGCTCCGCCTCAGTGGCTCTGGAGTTTCCCATGTTAACCTTATGAATATTCATATTTAAATGGAATTAAATTAATCTTAACAGCTGGTTCAACTAAAGAATTTGATTCTGTGATGTTCAATAGCATTCAAATTTAATCGGTTTACCAACAGGGTGCAGCACTATTTTTTTTTTTTAATTTATGACAACAGCTAATTTGCAACCAAAAGGTAGGCTAAGTGAACGTAGCGAACGAACTTCAACCTGGAGGTGAGTTAGCGTAGCGAACGAGCTAACCTGAAGGCAAGTGAGCGCAGCGAACGAGCTCCAACCTGAAGGTGAGTTAGCGTAGTGAACGATTTACAATCAGGACGTGATTGAGCCATGCGAACGAGGTCATCTTGAAAATGAACGAGCATTTGACATAAAACCACATTAGGACAGAACGAACGTCTGTCGGGCCAGCTAGTAAAATATAAGTGTGTTACACGGAGCTGTGGGTAATATAACATTACACTTGATTCGACTTTGAATCTAATGTGAAAATTCAAATCTGCCATTTCAAGGAGGTGCAAGCGTAATTCAAGGCTTGAATGAAGCTTACGTGCTGTCTGGTATATACCTTTAAAAATGTTAAAAATACCTCATCTGTAATTATTTGTTTTTATTCTTTCAATTTATTACCTTACTAGCAGAGTAGGACCTACCCGTCCTTCGTACGGGGTTGGCATATTAAGTTTAAAATGCTTATTGCAGTTATACTCAAGCTTTGCGTTTGCAATGGGGGAGGACAAAGTTTGAAAAAAATTGCTTCTTTAAATTGGCGGTATACTATTACATATCTACCATAGCCATAATGTTCTACCACTTCCCCTAAACAATAAAGACAAATAAATTATAAAAAATCGCAAAAAAATCACAAAACTATTCATGACATTAAAAACATAAACATAACTGTAAACAATCCTACTTTAACAGTTCTCATTGCGTATCACAGTTTTTTGTTGCTGCTTAGTTCAAATGTATTTTACATAAATGCAATAATTTATTTTTGTAAAAAAATACAACCGACTTCAAACGCTCTAAAAAGAATGAAATAATTTCAATAAAGTAAACTTTTGTATTAGGCAAGCTCACGTATATTTTAAGTCGGCGCAGCTCTATGATGATTTTTGATACAAAATTGAAAGAGGGTGTCCATATTGCAGGTGACTATCTATAACTAAAGGTGTTAATCTGCATGTCTTTTTCATAGTTATGCGTTAAGTGTTATTTTATTACCGTAATCAGAGATCGGCATTGTAGACGTAGTGGTATTAACGAGTATCTTTAAAAAGATTATAACGCATTTAAATGTTTCTAACTTGGAAAAGTAACGTTTTAATACTAAACTAGCTTCTTTTCCCTATCATAATATCGAACTAAATTATTTTCCTATTCATATAGAACATTTTTGTACTGTGTTATTTTCATAATGTATTTATTCTGAAGTAAACATTAAATACAAGAAAATATTTCCTTTAATATATAAACAAAACAGTTCAGTATGTTTTGTATATATTTATGTTATCCAGCTACAATTTATTGATTTTTAAAATACACACACAATATTTAATTTCAATCACATTTGCACTTTGAGCCGCGCCGACTTGAAATACGTGAGCTTGCCTAATACAAAAGTTTACTTTATTGAAATTATTTCATTCTTTTTAGAGCGTTTGAAGTCGGTTGTATTTTTTTTACAAAAATAAATTATTTCATGATTTTTAGTGACTGTATAATTTTTTATATATTAATTACTTGAGGATTTTTTATAAGCAAAAATGTTTGAAACAATCAAAAGTGCCACAGAACTATCATTATTTTAAAACTGCTTGAATCACCTGTTCAGGTTACATAATCAATGGGTATGAAAATAAACATTTTTAGATATTCCTTGAGAAAGAAAGAGTTGTCCATTACATTAGGCCTAATGAAACACTAATTGTCTTTTCTAGATACATTGAAATGTCAGACAGACATCATCGTTTCCTGCAATCGGTGTACTTCTACATTATAAAAAGAAATACAGTAACGTCTCAAAGCCTTTTGGAACAATATGAAAGTTATTCCTCAGCTACCAGCACTAAAAAATCTCTCAAAAGTGGAAAATTGGTCGTTAACACGTATAGTACCTTTGGAAAATATTATATGAAAGATTGGTTCAGCTAAAAGTGGTGTAAGTCACGTAGGGGGTTTTGTTTGCTCAAGATATAGCCTAGTCGAAATTGCAAATCATCTTCCTCTAGGACTTTCCGAAGCAGGGATAATAGTATTGACATGTTATAGTAACTGGGTAGAGAATATTAATAAACATTCCACATCTGCAAATGAAATATGTGTATGAAAGATTGGTTCAGCTAAAAGTGGTGCAAGCCATGTAGGTGGTTTTGTTTGATCAAGATATAGCCTAGTCGAAATTGCAAATCATCTTCCTCTAGGACTTTCCGAAGCAGGCATAATAGTATTGATATGATATAGTAACTGGGTAGAGAATATCAATAAACATTCCACATCTGCAATTGCATGTTTAGTAATTAAAATATGTAACACTTTTAAGACAATTGACGAATATGCACTGTCTGTAAGGAATAATTGCATTTAATTTATATTTAGACCTGTTTTGCGAATGCTTTGGTTTTCACAATACACCTTTATTTGTCAATATCATACAGCTATTCACTGAAACATATATGTTTTTGTAAGTCAGAATATTCAATACTCAAAACAGAATTACTGTATACACAAATCAGGTCAAACGTTGAAATACATTTTTTATAGTAACCAAAACAAAATGCATCTTTCTCAATGTAATTCATTTAGGCTCCATGTTAAGAAATAGTTTATTGATCAATATGAATCAACTGTTTCATGAAGAATTGTCTGTAGCTTCATTTAAATGGTTTCAACTAACAGCTGTAGGAATGTTATTATTATTTACCTAACCCACCATGTTAAACTTCCCTATCCTAAGCGTGATGTATACAACTTCCTTACTTCTCGAGTGATGTAAAGTATCAAAAAACTCACTCGGTGATGTAATGAAACCCATTTAAATAACATTGAGTGGATAACTTAAAAATTATACCTCTATGGAGCCAACGACGTTCAACGCTAGAAATCAGCTGTGCGCTTGAATGTTATTGTTATGCTTTAAAGTATTTTCCTAACCTAGCTTTTGTTTGTAAAAGAACGTTACTCTTAGAAGATGAGTGAAATGGATAGTGAAAAATATTGTACGTAGCCCCGTGTATATTGTCGGGTCAGGTAAAATCTTGTACGTTACACGTTACGCAAGAGCGTGTTTACATCACTTAGGTGAATTATGCAACTCGCTTACGCTCGTTGCACAACATTCACTTGCGTGATGTAAAAACGCTCTTACTACACTTGTAATGTAAATAGCTATTATTGCCTTCTCTGCACAAATGTCAACAATCTGCACAAATGTAAGCAAAATAAATGTTGAATATTTAAGGTTTTCAGAATTTTTCACGGAAACAAATATTATACTTAAACATAATATATAAGGTACCAAATAGAAACTCTCCTGGTTATTTTACTGATCGGTAAAAGAATCACAGAGAAATTGGTGAACATACATAGAAAAAAAACATCGCCACAAAAAAATTGAGAACCTCCTCCTTTTGTTGGTAGTGGGGAAGTCGGTTAAAAAAATAAACTGCTGCACCCTGTTGTTTGTAATTCTTATAACTTTTTTATGCTTTTTTATATCATAGAACCAACTTTATCATAGAGTATGTTACGTGTAAATATAAATGTTTCGTGTGTCAGTGTATGTATATATGTGAACTTCAACGATCGATGACTAATGCTATTAACAGTAATTTAACAAAACAAGACAGAAAATTTGACAATGGGGCTGTTGGCCCCGAAACTATAGTCATTATAAAAAGACGACTTGGATTGAGGACGTAAATATAAGGTATTTAACCTATTATTATTACTCATTATCAATCCAGGAGGCAAACATGGATAAATTTAAGTACATGGCTTATGGGGGTGTGACTTTTAGTTTTTTTTTTTTTTTTTAATTTCATAGGTACTTTGTGATTTATATTTGGATGCAATTAATACAAAAGATACTTAACTTTGGTTTTATACAGTATCTTGACTAAAAGGTATATAAACAACAAACGTAGAGTTACAGTATCGCAAAGGCTGTGGCTCATTTGACAGATTGAATAGAAACAGCTGATGAGCTGATGATTGTTTATACTACCAATCTTAGCAGCCACTAGCTGTCTGTTTTTGCGTGGTTTTTGTTTTTGCCGTTTCTAGCTTTCTGCTTTCTTCGAGTTTCGATTTGCTCTTCTTGAGCTTGAGGTATTAGGTTTTAGGGAGAGAGCCCTATTAAATTTAGAAGTTCTAAATTGTACTAACAATGAATGGACCGAAGGGTTGGGTGCAAAATTTTTGATGTTAACATTCTACTTTATTTTAGCAAAGCAATATTATTTTATTTCAATCTCCATCATTACACTATGTCAAATAAATCACATGAAAACAGTGGACATCATGTAGAGGCTGAGAAGTTTCAAAACGGTAACCTTTTATTTTACTAGCCCTAAAATTTATTGTAAGTGCTATTGAGTTGCATGTATTTCATTTCATTTACCTGTCTCTTAGGTTTTTAGCCTATTATATTGTAGACTGAGTAAATTTCTTGTTCATACCTTAACCTAATTTGACCAAGTTGGTTAGCCTAGCGAAATTGTATTTCTGATTGAAATGGAACTTAACTTAGACAAATGACCCCATAAATCCTAGCATATCAAGGATTTGAATCCAATATCTAGAAAATATGGGTTGAAATGTCAAAGACGTTAGGTTTCAATACTTCTTAACATCTAACAACCATATTAGACCTACATCTTCAATTGTTATTTCATTTCATTATTTTGGTTAGCTTAGTTCAGTTTGGATTATAATTTAGCTTAGGCCAGGTTCACACGAGCGACACGTCTAGTTTCAAGGCTGTGACTTGAGGTTAGGGAAAAATCAGAACTTGGCCCCCCTACTCCCGATTAACATAGGCTTATATACGGGCATAAAGAATCAAAATCGGGACGGGTGGCAACCCTGCTGCAATATACCAGTTCATACGAGCAACAACTCCACCGACTAGATCCCCGGCGAGACGTAAACGAATGAGCATGAATAAAGGCAAGTAAGTAGGCCTAATGTATGCGAGCTGTAGCATGACGACCAACTGCACATGTGAAGGCTATATACTGCTACGCTGCTATAGCCATACTACGAACAAAACAACCTGCGCAGAAACGAAAAGATCACGTGGTTCGTGCCGGTAGGTGTGGCTTACCCTTCAAACCTGCGTGGCTCGAAACGGCCCAGGGTTCTTTTGTTTCTGGTATTACTATAGAACCAGTGACTCTAGCTAATCCCGGCAAGTTGTATCACTTGGCTAGGAAGCGAACCCTGTTGATAGTTTGTAATAAAAGGCTCTACCACCCCGGCCGTAAACTTGTGTGAACAGCTCCATTTGATCTTGTGGTTCACTACGACAACCCTGTAGCCTGTAACCTAGTCACAGCCTAGCACATGTGAACCAGGCTTTAGTTTATGATATTAACAAACAAGACAACATTTATGAAAACAAGTTGATATGTTGTGCAATTGTATAAAGAGATAAATCTACAGACTTTGTAGATTTTTATTTGTGTAGGCTAGGCCTAATGGTAGGCCTACAATGTGTAGGTCTAATAGTAAAAATTTAATAGCAAAACATAGGACAATAATATATATTTTATGGATTCTATATATGTACTTTCATTCTTAAAAGCTGTAATTCATTTTTAGAAACAGAGATGCTCAGAGCGATGTATGACTTTGAGTCCACAATTCCCCAGACAATCAATTTCAGCAAGGGGGACTTCTTTGTCTTGCATCCTAGCGTCAACAAGCAGAGAAATTGGTGGCACGTAATCAGTGTCACCGGCCAAGTTGGTTACGTGCCTAATAATTATGTCCAGACTGTAGAGGTGAGATAAAAATCAATAATTACAGTTAACAAGGAACACTTTAAGTAAAACTAAACTTAACCTAGGCTTTTTGCTATCAACTGCTATTCGATTTAATTTATGTTTTTAGTTTTTGTTAGCCTACTTAATTATGAAGTGTTTTTATTTGTGTTGATATCTAGCCTGCGTAATCCAAGTTAACTGTCCTTCACATCTGAAGGATACTGGTTCAGTCCTGAGTGGATAGTGGATTCTAAATTCAGGATCCATTTGTCATCAATTTAATTAGTAGACAAAAGGTTGTTGTTAGATAGTTACAATTTCATCCAAATTTGGATCACTGCCCTTAAAAACTATGAAATGTAAAATTCCAATGGCTTTGGAATATTAATATATATTGATTATTAAGAGGTTGTAGGGTACTTCCCTTTGTAATAAGTGTTTTTAATAAAAACTAATTGGGAATTACTTTTAATCTTGCTTTTCAGGTTGGGTCAAAATGTGTACTAGACTTCTTAATTAAATGTATAAAGGCATTGGAGAAAGAAAACCAAGTCCAAAGCAGCTCGAGACGGCAAGATTTAATAAACGAGTTGAAGAAACGTAGACACCATTTAGCAATGCGCATTGCTCCCAGAGATTCCCGGTAGGTTTTTTCGTATTATTCATGTCACATTTTTATATTTTTAGCTGATATCACTGTAACTCTCTAATAGGCCTAAAGATCATGGAAGTTTGTAGATTAACCATGGGAACTTGACCATTTTACGAATTACAATATGCTTAAAACTTTACAACTACTGTACCTATTGATATAACTATTTCTATTGAATCTTTTGATAACTTAATGGCCCAAAAAATATATCTTAGGCTATTAAAGTATAGTTTTGCAAATTTATAAATAAGGATACATTACTAGGTACCATAGGTCTCATAGTAAAACCTAGACCCTGGACTGATATACTTTTTTGTTTAAATGTTCCCAGAAGCCAAAAACACCATTAGCCAAAGTTTAGAATCTTATCTTTCTAAAGGTATAAAAATGATTCCATTTTACAATCATTTTTATCCAAGTAACCAAAACCTTGCAAAACGCGACTATTATAGTTGCTGCCACAACAGAAACCACCCACTGCGACTATTATAGTCGCGCTGCCATTTGCATGGCTTAGTAGGACAACTGGAAAAGGGATGTACCGTAACAGAGGAAACTCTTATTGTAAGTATACAGGGTAGAAAAAAAATCCCCAGGATGGTTAAATATTTTTTTAAAAATTCAAGAAATCTTTGAACGGGGGCTGGCATTTTTTATTTGGTCGTTTGTTGAAGTTAAAAAGTTACAGCATTGTATTTAACTAGTAAAGGTCATAATTTCATGTGCTGTGCATATATCAACCTTTACTTACCACTTAAGATTTTCTTCTGACTCCTAGCAGGCCGTCCCCCTTAAAGAAAAGTATAAAAGTAAAGTATAAGTATAAGGAGAATAGGGTAGCATATCACTGAATAATGTGTTAAAACGATTTTAATGCACAGTAACTTTATACCAAGCTGTGTAGCTCTATGTTTTTTATTATTTGAAATATTTAAAACTATCCCAGGACATTTTTTGTAGAAAACTTATATAAATCTAACAAAAAACCACTAAGTGGTAACACTTCCCCCGCCAAGTCAGCAACCCAAAAAAGACAATAAATCACCACTTTTCCGCCAAGTAAAACAATGTAATGTATGTAAGTTTGGCAACTTGGCGGCAGACTTTTGCTTGTTTTTTTTTCATTAAAGTTACGTTGGTGGATAATTTCACAAATCAACTTCTCTAATTAATTAGTCCAACTAAGTATAATAATTTCGAGGTAATCAGTAAATATAAAACCATCACTATTATGATTTTATGAAATGTGACACAAATAAGGTCAAATTTTGTAAAATAAGCTCTCATCTAGCAATGTACTATTGGGAGAGATACTTGCTCAATGAAACTAATTTTATGGTATTTTTTAAAGTGATCAAGCAAAAGTCTGCCGCCAAGTGGCCAAACTTACATACATTACATTGTTTTACTTGGCGGAAAAGTGGTGATTTATTGTCTTTTTTGGGTTGCTGACTTGGCGGGGGAAGTGTTACCACTTAGTGGTTTTTTGTTAGATTGTATTTATTTTTGTAGAAAATTAACAGTTAAAATAAAAATCCTCTTTTCTCTTATATAGACCAGGGCACAACTACACATAAAATGCATTGGTGTTACATAAGTGTTCCGATAATTAAACCCGTATATCTAAAGACTAGTGTAAATTGAGCCCTTATTAGAGAAGTAAAAATGTAATCAAACAGATTAGGTTTGTTAGAAATAGCATAAGGCAAAACAAATATTGAAAAACTCATTTTTATCCTAAATTTACATATCACTTTTTACATTCACTTTTTTGCTTGTTTAACATACGTAGACGAATTTTCCCGATTGTTTTATTTGTTTTAGTGTATCAAAACATAAAACTAACCTTATTTAGTTAAATAAATTTTGGCAATATTATGAAGAAACAATGTTAAAACTAACCTTAGTACTAGTACTAAGTTTCAAGTTCCTAGGTTTCATATGTTTTGATAAGTAGTATTAAACTGTTAAAAATGACGAGCTGCTGTACCAGTGTACCATCGGTACACTGCATTTTTCAATGGAAAGTATCGGGGAATATCACTGCTCTAAGTAATTTTATATAGTAAGTAGCTCAAATCATTCGGTATACCTGAAAAAAATACTTTATAAAAGTTTTAAAATAATTTTTCAGCTGATCCTATGAATTTCTCTAACATTTTAAATTAATTGAGATTTAATCGCAGCTGATCCTTCTTTTGTTTTGATTTTAATCCCATGTTATTTAAATGGGCCAAAATCGTACTTTGAGGGCTTGCCAAGGGTTTATGGGTCAACGCGCGACTTGTGACCCTCAAAAGGCACATCTACACGCTAAGGGCTTTCAAACAACATAAAAAACATTAAAATTGAGCCAGTGGTTTGGGCTGTAGGTCCGTCAACATTTAAGGAGAAGAAGGAGAACACGGAAAATTTGTGAATTTTCAAACTAGTTTTTCTTGGCTCAAACACAACCTTTTTTTAAATTCTTTTTTTTATTTTGCCAAGAATGATTGCCCCTATCCAGTGGATGAACAATTATTTTAATAGCTTTTGTTTCTTCAGAGCTATAGACGAGTAAAAAAGCCACTTTGTCACGTCATGTATATATACACTGCAGCAGCTGTGTACCGCTGGGGGACTTGGCGGGGCGGAACGCTGCCGCGTTCCTTAATTTGAAAGAACAGTGAATAGTGTCAGAATACTTAAAATAAAAATACTATTTCTATGTATGGGAGTTGGAAAACTTATCAAAATAATATAATGCTAGATTTATTATATGCTTTTTTAGAATTTCCTTGAATTTAGATAGGTTTGTTTCTTTTTTTATGAATTCATTGACTAATTTTAGAAAATTGTTACCAGCTTATGAGCGTTTTTTTTTTTCTCTAAAGAATGTTAATTTGTGAAGCTGGACAAACTTCCTTCTCCTCCTGAAATTATAAGAATGCACTGATTCACTGAATTTATTACTTGCTCAGATTCATTTTTTTGGCGATAAGAATTGTTTCATAAATATATTGCCCATAAACTGTAAAAATTTGTAATTTATTAAAATGTTCTTTTGCCGAATCATCTCCTTTAAGCTTAAGGATAATTCTGATAGCCCCTCTTTTTGCCGCTTCAGAATGCTATCCAAATTTTTATTTTTAGTTGACACATATAATGCTAAACCGAATGAAAGATGAGAGTCAATTTGAGCAAAATATATACTTTTGAAAGGGAGCCATGCTCTTAGGGTTTTGGACACAGTGTGTCTAGACGAGGATTGAAAGTGTCCGAAGCCTAAGAAGAAATAAGATTTTTCTCAGGGGATAAGCCTGGCGAATAAGTGGGACGATGTCGAAGTTGGACAACGTTAAACGTGGACTACGTTAAAAGCAGACACCGCCTCCATCAGACAACGATAAAAGCAGACAACGACGAACATGGACACATTCAAATGTGTCCAAGCTTAACGTTGCACGCAAACGACAAACCTGGACACATTTATAAGTTGTCCAGGGGTGGCGTTGCACGACACGACGAATATGGACACATTCAAATGTGTCCAAGTTTAACGTTGCATGCAAACGACGAACCTGGACAGGTTTTTAAGTGGTCCAGGGGTGGCGCTGCACGACACGACGAAACTGGACACATTCAAATGTGTCCAAGTTTAACGTTGCATGCAAACGACGAACCTGGACAAGTTTTCAAGTTGTCCAGGGGTGGCGTTGCACGACACGACGAAACTGGACACATTCAAAAGTGTCCAAGGGTAACGTTGCACGCAAACGACGAACCTGGACACTCTTAGTTTTTGAACAGACTGTACACCAGGCTCATCAAATTCTCAGTCTCGCTCGGTTGGTAAACTCTGAATGAGCTTCCTAAAACAGAAATTCCGTGAATACGCCTTTTTGTTACAAGGCTTCTTTTGAACACACTGTTACTAATACACGTGTTGTAGTGACTCATAGTCCGCGAAACACATTGGACATTATAAATTCGGAAATGTAATTGCATGTTTATTTGGTCGTTGTAAATGTTTGCTGGATATTAATAAAAAAATAAAACCTATGGGACCTGGATACACCGTGTCCCAAATGGATGGTTCAAATCTACAGCTTTTGTTCAATATACGTATTGCTAATTGTCGTATAAAAGTTAATTAAGGCTCATTTTAAAACTGCCATATTTAAGTGATTTTTAGTACCCTTCAATAGTAATTAGCTGTCCATTGTTTTTGGCACATTTGAATCTTCAAAACATACATTTGCAATATGGAGCTGCGGCTGAAATCAAAATTTGTTAATGGTTTATAGAAATGAAATATGTGGAGTGTTTTTGTCTGGGGGTTTGTCCTTGGTTTTTCAATGATTGAACGTATCAGTCGTCAACCTCTCACGTGGATAAACTAACAAAATGAAGCAAACAGATGCCTTAGATTTTAACGTTTTCGTGGCGAAACAACTGCAATAATAGAGCAGTCAAATTGTTATGGATTATTTAATTACGGTATGTGTAAATGGATCCTGCTCGACTAAACCTGTTTCACAATGTGCAGTCTATCGTATCCTACGATCACATATGGTACCTACATAGGTTGAAATAATAAAACTCATTCGTTTGAGGATTATTTGAACAAAGCAGCAAAATAGCGGTGATACACAATGACAACATATCAGGCGTGTATTTGAGATCGTTAGTGAATCCACTACGGGTAATACTTTGCAAAACCGTTACGGAACTATAACTACACCCGCCACAACGAACCTGCAGACTAAAAGCTACTTTACTTTAGTCTCACTTTGTTGTCAATAAAATATCTCCTTAAAAATGAAATATTTATTCCCTATTACTATAACATTAGTTTAACGAGTTTTAGCGAATTTCTCATATAGGGAATAAGCTATTACCGTAGGTCTCATGGTAAGACCTGGACTCGGGACCGATTTACTTTTTCATTTTGATGTCCCCAGAGGCCAAAAACACCATCAGTTCAAATTCATATAGCCTATATATATATA